AATCAGAATAACATTTGGACATTATAAAAAAACACAAAGACGTTCAAGTGAATAAAATCACTGGATATCATATTTAGGTACTTCAGCACTGAAAAGAACACCAACACAGATTTTTTTTAAACGGCAATATTCACAGACAAAATTGCCGTTATTGGAGTGACACCAACCCTCACGTTTTCGGGGAAACACATACCCAATATCCAGAAAAAAAATAACGTTTGGGCATGAATATCGGGAAACCATATTGTAGGACTTCTATTTATTTATCAAAATTCAACAGGGGAATATGCTGGAAACTACTGTTGACTCTCTCATCACTGAAATCGTGGAAGCGAATCCTAATGAATTTGATATGGATATTGTATTCCAACAAGATGGATCACCACCACAATACTCCAGACAAGTAAGAAAATATTTGGCTACCACCTTTCCCGGTCGTTGGATTGGCCGTCGAGGTCCTACAGAATGGCCAGCCCCCTCGCCAGATTTGATACCTTTGAATTTTTTTTATGGGGCTATTTGAAACAAAAGGTGTACGAAACTGAACCTGCTTCAAAAGTAGATATACGGCAGAGAATAATAAATATTTGTAGGGATATTGACGTTACTGTGTTCGAAAATGGCTGTTCATATGTCAAAAAGTTCAAGGCAGCCATTTCGAGCATCTTCTTATCTGACCTCAAGCTTATTACCTCATATTATGTAGTGAAATGTCAATGTATTCAAGCAATTTTTGAAAGTTTCGCCATATTATATGGTTGTGAAGCATTTGTCAGGAGCTTCAGAAAGATGTGTCACAAAACCATCCTTTCCATTTAATTTTTTTCCCAGATGGCGCCCAGTCGCCATCTTGAAAGTTCCATCTGTCAATTTCACTTCAAAATAAAGTATTCATGCATTAATTTCATTATCCCAAATTTCAATTTTTTGAGCTGACTCGTTCAAAAAAAGGGGAGGGGGCATTAAAGAAAAGCACTGTATACCACGACACGGTAGAATGATTATTTATTGAAACATGGATCTTTAAAAACACATGACATTATAACTACCAAAACTTCTGAAACAACTTGATATTGAATGTGTAAATTTATTTTGTTTGGTTGTAGCATTTTCAATGTGCCAACAATCATAAATTTTCAAGAGGCACTAATCGTTGCCCTAGCTAAGCCCACCGTAAACCCCCTTAGTTCCGCCAATGGCAATATATGAAGATTTTTCTCAACTGAATATTATGATGAGATTCCTAGAAAAAGTCTCGTTATGTTAGGTTTATTCAAAAATTTTTCTCAAGTCATTCTACACATAGTTCAGAGAATGTGGATATAGAACTACAAAAGAATTTTCAAGAGGTTTTGAATTGTTTCGCATATCATGAGCTGAGAAAAAACACTAAACATGAATAATTGAGAAATTTTGGAGGTTTGATGAAAAGGAAATCTATTCTGGTTCTCGTGTTTTTATATATTTTTTGTTTGTAAATCAAATGTATTCTTCATGTGGATTTGATAAAATTGTCAGGATATTACATTCATCCACTCTTCTTCAAAACTTATGTGAACATCCCCCGAAAAACATGGGATGCTTACAAATTTCGATAAAATATAGTGAATAAATAGTTATGAANGAACTGTACTCGTACATGTCCATTTCTATGATTGTCTAATTTCTATAGTTAGATGAGTCAACGTCAAATATCAACTCACTAACATCTTTTTCATTAACTTCTATCACCACATTACATGTTAGTATGTTGATATTTTTTTCAAAAATTGGTTCATATTCTGTACAAGCTCCTTTAAACTATAAAAAAAGTTTCAATTGGTATATAGATAATTTTTCAATGATAACTCACTTCGTTTGATTGTTATTTCAACTCGAACAATATCCTTATCTTTTCTAAAAAAATTAAATCCCTCTATGCAAGGGTGAACTCGAAACAGAGGTTTTGAATAATTATGATAAATTGAATCTCTGACAACAAAAATGGTCTTGAACGTAACCTTGACAAACTCTCAAAACAAAACGACTACTTCCACTACACATATTTTAGAAATGACCAAATTCCGTAAAGCCAAAAATATTTCTGTCAATCCCAATTATTCCTATAAGTAGTCCATGTAATAATTTTCTTATTCCCTTTGGATATTATACCTTTATGCAATATTAGAGAAATAATTTTCATCCTATAACAACATATCTTCCTACATAACGTTATGGGATTAACGTTTGATTCAGGTATAATTGAAATTAAAAAATGATGAAATATCTTTGTAGAATTTGTATTTTACCTCAGAACATACATAAATCCTGTGTATATTTTTTTTAATCAACACGATTTTATTAGCTTCACCTGTATGTATGTTTGTTTGTAACTCTTAAGCTCGGTATCTGTGTTTGACAGTAGGTATTATCGACATTATTGCTTGATCTATTCGCGGGCAGATAGCTCTGTACATAACCTCCTTGAAATAATTCGAACTCACTTTACATGTATATCTTCATTTGACATAAGTATTTTTTTTATCAAAACGCGCGCTTGCTGCCTTATTTGTAACGCTCCTTTGCGCCCCTGCTGCCTTGGGCTTGGTAGCTGATTTTCAGGCTCCGGAATCGGAAAATATCTGTGNTTCCAAAAAAAGCGCAAAAAACCGATTTTTGTGACCTTTGACCTTGAAATTTAATAGTTGCTTACACCCTACCATATGTAGGTTTTGAGACAACTTTTAGGGTGTCAATATACAAGTATTTACAGACTTACAGCTGGGTATCTCGAATTCCGAGATTCTTACCTAATTTAAGCTTAAATGACTGGATTATTATCCCAAAAAGCGGGTCGGTTCGAGACAGCACTAATTAACGGCTCCACATCGTAATCGGCCATGATAAATAGTGTGAAGCGTCCTCCCCCATGCCCCCTCCCGGGTTGAGCGCCCTGAGTTGAAATCTTCCCCACACAGTATTATCCGAATATTTTTCGATTTATGTTACGTTCCTATTTGTTGGAGAAACATAAACAGAAGGGTGGGGATTGACCTAAACTTATTTAGGTAAAATCACTTTAGGTAAAAGTGTGTTTAAAACAAAGTATAAACCTGAGGTTTGTCATTTGTGTATGTGTGAGTATCAATCCAACTTCAACTAGAACGTTTGTGAAAATACATCAGAAAATATGGAAAATACAGAAAGTGCGGAAAGTAATTGTGATGCTATGGCAAATACTGACATGGACGAAAACAGCAATAATGTGACAAACAGTGAAACCAGTACGGAAACAGTCGAATTTTTTAATGCACAAGAGAGATTTTTGGATGACTTGAACGAGGAATTGTCTAGGAGGGAAGAAAACTTTCAGTCACAGGAGAATAGGTAAATACAGTTTTTAGTTTTAATGAAGATTTTTGGTAAAATAGAACTAACCTGTGAAGGAATTATCAAAATGTTTCTACAAATTAGAAAGTTATGGATAGCAGAATAATTTCGTCCAGCGTGTGACGTCATTTGACCCAGGCGATGACGCCTATATTCGCTTAGTTTTTAACGCCGGTATTGCCCGTAAATCATGCAAAGCCAAGCTTTACTAATAAGCTCGGCTGAAAAGTACGTTCATTTAGAATGTTGATCTTATGCGCCGTAATTACTGAAGTCCAGTTTTCTAAAACCCAAAATACATTTGGGAACGCCTAAAAAGTGGTAAAATTCTTCAAGTATATCATATTTGCCACGCACAATAAACAGGGAGGAATTTTATGTTAAAATCAATGATAACTGGTCAAAATTGTGCAATTCGAATAGAAGAAATATTATTGTTTTTTGTGTTCAAGTAAAAGAGGGTCTCAGGTACGGACTAGATGCTAAATATTTTGGATGATAATAATAATAATGATAATAAAAAACTTTATTCACCGGAATAGAAACTTTATTCATTGGAATAGAATTACTTGAATTTGAATAAGCTGGTATGAAAGAAGTTTACTTGAATTTGAATATGCTGATATGAAAGAAGTTTCTAGAATTTTGAAGTACTTTTTGTTTTAAATAAATTTAGCAGACTATACACCAAACTTTTACTATAGAAAAAGTTGTTTCATACGCAAGCTGAATATCCAAGCCAGGCTCAATACCTGCATGGAATCTCAATAAAAATTATTCAAAATTTTCCAATTGGGCACTGCAAACAATGCTGGTGTCAGCACCTCTTTCCACAATGGAATTTTTCCTGATTTTCTGAAAACATCCGTTGTCCTTCCATTATATAAAGGTGGAGATTCAGATATGATACCGCGAATCTTCGCCCAATCTGTCTCAACCATGTTGAGACAAAATTTCGATTTTTTTTTATATTTTCGTTTTTATATTGTCATTTTATATTTCTATACTCTCATTTGTATGTATTTCCCACAAGCTTTGTCCACAAGATGTATTCTTAATGACAATAAAGTATATTATTATTATTACGATGGTACACCCATCGTAACTGAAAAGAAGTATTACAAATGTTTGTTTGTTGGGTGTTTACGCCAAAATATGCAGAATTCAATGGTTTATTTCATCACATTCATTGACAATTTTTCAAAATTTTTCAGTGATGCCGCTCTTTTTAAGTTCATTTAGATTAATCGAGCATCAACAATTTCATGAAAATTCTCCATTTAGTAGTGCCAGAAAAAAAAATTATTTTACAAATTTCTATGTTTTGGAGAACGAATTTACATATATTGCGACAGGAAACTCAATATAATATTATGAAATTTCGAGTGTTATAAATTTTATGACAAAACATCGTTCTCTCTCCACCTCGTAGCCCGTAGACGAAGCTTACGGCACTACACATTTCGATTTTGTTTATGTTCATTCAAATGAGTAATAGTAAGTTAACCTATTCTGTGGAAGATGGCGTCACCATGTCCTTTCCGCATAAAAATTCGAAACTATTTTTGCATATGTTTCACTTATCAGTGAAAGAGAATTTTGACGCTTTTTCAGTGAGTACATAACTACTTGTTGAGAGCATCGTTGTTTTTCCAGTTTTATACAAAAGTTGAAACTTAATGGTGATTATTTTATTAGATATACTTCATGTAATTAACCAGTTTTTTATCAACCTTTAGCTCTATTTGTTTGAAATATTGTTATAAACAAATGTTGTGTTCATAAGATTTTCGAAATTTTTTTGCTGATAAACTATTTAAGTTTAATCTTCCTCTTGAAGACGATCACTTGGTGATCGAAACACGTGGTGTTGGGGAAAAACTCCAGTAATATTCATTACTACACCAAAGGTTCCAAACAGTGCATCATAAGTGTTTGCTGATAGTTTACCGAAATCTAATGTAGTTGAAAAATAGTCCTATTCGGTTCGAAATTAGCCCAAGAATAATGTATTCCGATGATTTTGCAGTGGGTAAAACATATAGAAAAATAAACAAAATAATCGAGGAAAAAAAAGATATTCCNTTTTTTATTTTTTTGAATGTTTGACAGGTTTTAAAGATTTCAAAAAAGCTATATTGTATAATATGATTCATACATTTTCTTTTCAAGAACAAAAACCTAGCTTTTTTAGGTTTATTCAATGCTCGAGAATGGGCAACAATTTATCGTTTATGAGATCCCTATTCAAAACCTCGGATTTGAATGGCTCTGTATTTATGGTATATTTCGTATTGAATATTACTGGAGTTTTTTTCCAACACCAAACCGGTATTTTAACACCTCAAGAGGAAGATCAAACTAGACTACTAGATTGATCTTCCTCTTGGAGATGATCACTTGGTGACTGAAACCCGTGTCGAGGTGTTAACACCGTTAATTTAACACCTCGACACGTGTTTCGATCACCAAGTGATTATATTCAAGTTTTTTTCCAACCAAACCGTTATTTTAACACCTCAAGAGGAAGATCAAACTAGACTTCTAGATTGATCTTCCTCTTGGTGACTGAAACCCGTGTCAAGGTGTTAACACCGTTAATTTAACACCTCGACACGTGTTTCGATCACCAAGTGATCATCTTCAAGAGGAAATTAGTGTCGAGGTGTTAAAATAACGGTTTGTTGTTGAGAAAGAACTCCAGTAATATTCATTACTACACCAAGGGTGCCAAACAGTGCATTACAAGTACATATTTCGTATTGATAACCTTGATGGACCTTACTAATACTAGTGTTTTGATTTTCAGGACTCTTTACTTCTCGGAATCGGAAACTCGGAATCAGGAATCAAACTCTTTCCTTATTGAAAGTCTCTGCTGGGTGAAATTGGGGGTATACAGTTCCCAATCTGAAAGTCCATTGCGGAACCAAGTGTTGGTCCGCAACTTGTTGAGAAGGGTTATGTACGCAATAGAGTGGGAACTACCCGCCCCGAACACTCAAATGTCAGCACCATCGGAAGGCGCGAGCGATTCCAGTAACCTGGTTCCAGATCAGTTGAATGCTGAGGAGATTCTGATGCAAACCTGCCAGGCATTGGAATCGCTCAGCGATGAGGAAATCCAGCAGGCCCTTAACAGCATGGAATGGGAACCGTTCTGAAGGGGATCGCCTGGTGAGTTTTTATGATTTTCGGTGTTCTGGAAAACTTTATTCTCCCGTAAGCGAAGGCATTAGTGAATAATGAATAGGCTTCTGGAGGAAACTACGAGGGTTGGCTGAAAAGTTTCCGATCTAAGAGAGATTCAAGATAATTTTTTATTTTAGTCTTTTTTTAACTCTACACAAACTTTCCAGCGATGTTTTCATCTCTGTAAACCGTCCATATAGTACTCGGTGTTTTCTCTGCAAAATAATCGTTCACGAAGGTGATTGCCTCNTGGAAGTAATTTTGTTCTATGCAAATTTTGGTAAGTCGGATGTACTCTTCGACTACTTCACCACTTATTCCTTCAGAGAAAAATATCAAAAATATATTCTGTAAAACAATCCGATAGTCTTCAGACCTTCTTTATTCTGGAACTGAAATCTTAAGACCCGAGACAGCAATTTTTTTTAATTTGAATGTTGAACAGCATAGCAGCAAAATAATGATAACTTTTCTTTCTTTCATCTGCTCCATGCTCAATTTATTTTTTATTATGCCTTAAAATTTGGGGGGGGGGATTTTGCTACGCCACTGGCCCGAAACTCTGCGGGCGCCTTTCGCAATACATTTCAGAAATTAATTATATCGAACAATTCAAAAAAAAAATTTCCCGTGCGTTGACCAATAATTGACTACACTGAATAATCAAACTTAATTTTATTTCACTCTAAATACAACAAACACTTCAATTAAAACTTCAACTATTATTTGAATGTCTATCGCCTTACTAGATCACTTCTCGTACCGCATTGTATCTTTCATTTGACTGTCGATATGCTCGAGGCTAGGGTTTGAATATCGTAATCGAATGCCGTAGAAATTTCGCCGAAGTTCCGCCAAAATCGGTAGTATTATTCTTGCTTCTTCTAGAGCGGCAGGGAACATTGTGCATTCGCGCTCTCTTAGGTACGCCACGTTTGGTTTTTGGTTACCAGTGGCGGCCGACGTTATTTTTTTTCCGGCATGATTTACAACAATATACATCTGCAAATCGAAAACTCCTTCATGATATAGTACTTCGGTGAACAGTAAAGTCCCTTCTGATTATTAGCCCATTCCGTGATATATACTTTCTGAAATATATTGCATTGTCCATGCATGTGTTAATATGTGAAAATTAGTCTCTCAAACACTAGTTATAATTTTCATTTTTACCTCAACTGTTTGTTTCTTTTGTATTTTTTAATGTATTTTTTGAATTTATTTTTATACATCATTGCTAGTGATTTGGAATAATGCTTATGTATCATATCTACCATTATTACTCATTACTTATTTGTGCTTACTAGTACAATTATTAGTACTTGTACTTCCCTACATCAGAGGATTATCGGAAAGGATAAGATGCATTGGGTTCAAGTATAACATCAGGACCTGCTTCAGATCTGGGAACACTATCCGTAGCAGCCTCACGAAAACCAGGCCACCAAACGCAGACTGCGATTCTAAGACTTGCATTTACCGGATACCCTGCGAGTGCGGAGATACATCGGTGAGACTAAGAGGTCATTGAAAGTTCACAATGCTGTGCTGTGCGTGCTGAGCACAAGAAACACACACAGCGAGGAGAAACCAGCAAATCCGGAATAGCAGAGCATGTGTAGATCTCAATTTTTATTTGTTTGGTTGTTGTTGTATGTTTTTTTTTTGTAATTTCAGAATTTGTCACATGACCAGTTTGTTTGCTAAGTTTAACCGCCACATACTTGACCAACTGCGCTTGGCGAAACTGAAACATAGTACGCCGAACCAAGTCATACTGCGCAAAGCGTAACTGCACAACACCAAACTATACAGCTCAACCGAACAAACGGGTCATTTGACAAATTGTTACGCTCTCATTAGCTGGTGTCCCAGAATCGGCTTTGGTGATCTACTATTATTATTATTTTCCGGGTTATATGGCCGTGGTCTGGCCAAAAAACCCATGGTCGTGACCGTGGTCAAAAAACCAGGAAAATAGATCCCACACAGTCATCTCCGGCCGTAGTTCGTTTTTTATATATTTGTTGAGCCTTTTACTTATACTCACACCATTCGTATATTTCAGGATTATCAAGCCGTTGGGGTCATACCCGGACATGAACCGCGCAGAAACATTACGACAAATTACTGAAACATTTTCCAAACGGATCAAAAACAATGAACAAGGATGATTGACGAAAACATTGACAGTCATACAAGAAATCGTATTACATTCCGTTCCAGGTGGTACAACTACAGACAAGCAATATTTTTATTGTGATTTCTTGTGTAATAACAATTCACAAATTGTGAATAACCATAGTGAATGACTTGGAATTGAATATAATTGTAAACATTAGTTTTGAGTTTTTATTTCTTATAATTTTATAGACATCTTTCTTTATGAATATTACTGGAGTTTTTCCCAACACCAAACCGTTATTTCAACACATTGCCACTTGTTTTGATCACCAAATGATCATCTTCAGGAGGAAAATCAAACAGTTCGATCTTCCTCTTGAAGATGATCACTTGGTGTTCGAAACACATGTCGAGGTGTTTAAATAACGGTTTAGTGTTGAGAAAAAACTCCAGTAATGTTCATCAGTACACCAAAAGTTCCAAACAGTGCATCGCAAGTATCTTTCTTCATATTGAAAACTCAACATCTTCCTGTTGCGAAGGGTGTTCAAGATATACATTGAAATTATTACACTTCAAATGAATGAATTGTTCAAATATAGAGGAAATATTCATTTTCTATGTTTACTGAATATTTCAGATCTCTTTTATTGCTGTTATTGAAAATTGATACAGAATTGTCCTGGGTTTTTTGTGTCAAGGTGATGATCCAACAACTAATTGATTAGGTTTCTAATAAAAACACCACAGGATAGTTATATTCAATATTATTCTAGAACAATAAATGTGTTTATCAAAAATAATTACATTCTTAATTACATAATACTATGTATTATAAATAACCATTGTGATTTTGAAAAATTCAGATTAATTCCTGGTACTATCACTAATCTCATTAGGGGGTTGAATTATGAGAAGTGTCAAAACAGTTATTGTGTAATAATAATAATATTTAAGCACTATTCACAATATATACCGTATACAGGGCTTTTCATGATGAGCGTTAATTAGCCGTTTCTGGCAAACTATTCAACGGATCAAACTGAAAATTCCACAGTATGCATAAGTCAATATGACCTACACGCCTAAAATATTTTAGACGAAGCGGCGTTGTCGCTTCTACTATAAAGTAGCGGCTTCTTTGATTTTTCAAATGGAACACCCCGTATATTATAATTCATTATCACTTTGTCAACAAATTCATATACTATTTCCCTATACCTATCTATTACCGTTTAGAAGATATAAATTAATTTCGATATTTTTTTTACCAAACACGATCTTTTATACTTAAATGCTGATAATCTTGAACTCTCTTGCACTAAAACGATCAAATTTGAAATGGAGTGGAGTGATACTATGAGTTCACTCCGAGTTATATTTTCATTTGCCAAATGCAGATACTTTGATCTCATGAAAAAATGAGTGGAACTCAATTTTTCAAATGGAACACCCTGTATATTTCAACATTTTCGAGCTCTACATCCTACAAATGACATTAATGCAGTACATACTACAGGAAAGCTGCATGGCATGCAGTTATTCATTATTAATAATAAATTAGTAACGTATTTAATACATGTTGACTTTTCTATTTCATCTCTGAAGGTGGACCGAAAACCGAGATGATCCCCAGAAAATTATTCAGATGTCTTTTTTTTACATTTCAGCAAACTCTCGTGCTTTATTCAAAAGATCAGCATCATTTGAATTTTGCAAAGTGACAGGTTGGAAAACACTGAATTTGAACACAATTTCATTCATCGATTCATAATGATGTCCAATACTCGATAAAATATGTTCACTTTAAAAAAACTTTTCGGATCTTGAAGACGCTCATCTTCGCAAAAATGAAGTTGATCACGTGGTGATCATCATTTGAGTTCCTTGAGTCATTATCAATTTTAGAGTTATAAATTAGAGTAGAGTAGAGTGAAGTAGAGTAATTTATTTGACCATTTCATATACAAAATACATTTATGGCAAGTCATATATACAGTGTCATCCCCAAAGTATGCACCATATGGGAAACTTATTTATTAAGGGTTGTTCGACAAAAAGTTATTCTTGATAAAAGTTTGTGCATCCTCTAAAACTAAACATGCACCAACAAAATACAGTACATCACACGTAATATACGAGGACCCTTCAAATATTTGATTTTGTGGCAAGAGTAAAGTACTCTTATTTTGAAAAATCTCGGGAAATGTTATTTAGAAAAGTTGTTCAGCATTGAAAAATACATCTAGATTTGAAGTCATGGCCATCTAAGTGAGGTTTTATTTTTTTACCCATTTTTTTGAAATGGGGACCACGAAAAAAGAAATTTGCTGAAACGATAAATAGACAGCATCCTGTATACGACGGTTTATTTCAAAAGCCTGTAATATTACAAATTACACAACTGTCGTGTTAACCACGGTCAATTTTTTTGAAAAGTAAATTAATTTTCAAAGTTTTTGGTGCAGTTATTTTTATTTTTTGTTATCACCAAAAATTACTCAAAATTATACAGTATTGTAACAAAAACTTAATATTCAATAATATCAAATCACAAAACATCAAAATAAAATAGGTATTTCTAAACAAACTCACTGATTTCCTAGAGATTTTCTTGTCCAAAATAAGTGTTTCAAGTTGAATCTCCAGAAAATCAATAAGTTTGTTCCGAAATTCCTATTTTATTTTGATGTTTTGTGATTCAATATTATTGAATATCAAGTTCTTGTAACAATACTGTATAATTTCGAGTAATTTTCGGTGTTAACAAAAAATAAAAAAAAACTTTGCACCAAAAATTTTGAAAATTTATTTAAGTTTCAAAACAATTGACCGTGATTAACACCATAGTTGTGTAATTTGTAATATTACAGGCTTTTAAAATGAACCGTCTATTTATCGTTTTAGAAATTTTTTTGTAGTCCCGATTTCAAAAAATTTGTAAAAAAATAAAACCTCACTTAGATGACTATAATTTCAAAACTAGATGTATTTTTCAATGTTGAATAACTTTTCTAAATAACATTTCCCGAGATTTTTCAAAATAAGAGTACTCTTGTCACAAAATCAAATATTAACATTCCAGACGTGGAGTGATTGCCAGTTCAGGTGTTTCGACAAGAGACATATCAAGACTTCTTAGATGCATTGAATGAAGAATTTTGAAGAAGAGACATTAACTTCTTGAGGAGTTGCACTCCGTTTAGGAGCAATAAATCAACAACAACACAATCAGAGTGGAATGTTGGAGCTGACCTGACGGTCCAAAAATTGAACAAGCACAGTTCTAGATTGCGAGAGTTTGTATTGCTTACTAACACCTCAAATGAAGTGGATGACAAAGGAATATCTCCGGCAGGTCAGGCTTTTCAAGATGTCGGTGAAGAGACACTGAAGATGATGGACTGGGAAGAGTGTAGTGGTTTCGGGTTGGAAGATGATGGTGATAATGAGGTGCAACAAACAGTGGAGAGCATGGACTGGGAAGAGTTCTAGACATGGAGTGATTGCCAGTATGACTGTTTCGACCAAGATGAATGGTTGTTGGGGTAAATTTTCGTTATGTGGACACCCGGCGATTTTGAAAAAATTTTTGACTGTACTTTCGATATCAACGTTTGTAAACTGCGTAGTTCCAAAATGAATGATTTTTTAGCAGAAACTAAAAACGTTTTTGATAAATTAAACGAACACTTATAGCTTATAGGTACATTGAACGGAGAATCAGAATCAAATGTTGGAGGTAAGCGCAACTTGACAGGTGATGTGATGTGTTGGCTGAAATTAAACGAGCACAGTTCTAGTCGAAATCCTCCATTGCGATTGTATTGGTTACCAATACTACTAAATTCCCCGATCAACGGAATATCAACCTCTGATCGTAGTTATTTTGAACTAGGAGGCGAAAATATTTTGAAAGGTCAGTCAGGCTCCGCAAGACCCCACAGAAGATGGAGTTCTAGAAACACTGAAGAGGATGAACTGGGAATATTGTAGTGGTTTTGGAGTGGGAGATGTATATATTTGTGGTCCAATAAACGGTGGAAAGCATAGACTGGTTAACATTCCAGACGTGGAGTGATTGCCAGTTTCAGGTGTTTCGACAAGAGACATATCAAGACTTCTTAGATGCATTGAATGAAGAATTTTGAAGAAGAGACACTAACTTCTTGAGGAGTTGCACTCCGTTTAGGAGCAATAAATCAACAACAACACAATCGGAGTGGAATGTTGGAGCTGACCTGACGGTCCAAAAATTGAACAAGCACAGTTCTAGATTGCGAGAGTTTGTATTGCTTACTAACACCTCAATGAAGTGGATGACAACGGAATATCTCCGGCAGGTCAGGCTTTTCAAGATGTCGGTGAAGAGACACTGAAGATGATGGACTGGGAAGAGTGTAGTGATTTCGGTCTGGAAGATGATGGTGATAATAGGGTGCAACAAACAGTGGAGAGCATGGACTGGGAAGAGTTCTAGACATGGAGTGATTGTCAGTATGACTGTTTCGACCAAGATGAATGGTTGTTGGTTCATTGCATTAAATTTGTTTATTGTTGAAATGTGTCCAATATATTCATTGAAATAAACACCCTTTCCTTTATTTCAAATAACATCGAAATCATGCGCGATATCATAAATAATGGCACTTCAACCAAATATTTGTTCTGAAAATGAACAACCCATTGATTTATTAGAACACCTGAATTCATTCCATTGGTTTTGGAACAATACATGTTTTCATCAGAATATTCACTTTCACTTGAATTGAAGGGGTTATATTTTTAGGAGTGATTAATTTTTGGAAATAATCAAATTGATTATTTCCTTCCTTTCTTTGGAAGATTCCCTCACCCTTTTTTTTGTATCAAGATGGAGTAGTAGAAAGCCAAAAACTTTCTTTCCCAAAAATTCACTTTCACATTTACCAACTATGTTCGTTATGAATAATTATTGTATTTTGGAAAAATCAATTTAATTCCTGGTATTCTGTCTAATCTCATTAAAGAGTGGGGTAATAATTTGTAATTAGTTGTAGGGTTACAACATTAAATGATGCGGAAAATCAGTTGATTAATTACTTCAATGATCGTATTAGAAATATTTCATACACTTTATTTTCAAAATATTTTGCTATTCACTATAATGGTTGCTGTACAACGACAACTGTGCCCAACTAATTTTTTATTTCCTAAAGTTACTGTTCGTTCTTACAG